AGAGAGAGAGAGAGAGAGAGAGAGAGAGAGAGAGAGAGAGAGAGAGAGAGAGAGAGAGAGAGAGAGAGAGAGAAGAAGCAGCAGCAGCAGGACTAGTAGTAGTGGAAGTTGCAGTACTAGCAGCAGCAGCAACAGTAGTGCTTTTGAAATACCTGCCGCACCTTTGTAAGGGTCACCACTTAACAAATGGAAACGCATGGGTTTCACCCCACCACTCCAATTCATCATTTCTGCTTTTCTTTTTTCTCTTTTTGTTTCACAAATCGAGTCGGCAGTCAGTTGTAATTGCAATCCAGTGGCAAAACCCAGCTCTTATTGACAGCAGTCGTCAAACACAACAGAAATAGTTGCTGTTCTTCGATCCTCAACAATGTCACACATCCCATGGAGTAGCCATCACCATGCACTAACCTGGCAAAGCTTCACGTTGACTTTGTTTTCCAAGAAAGTTTTCGCAAGATCAGTCTCCTGTGTTCGTCCACACACAAATCCCAACTCACAGAGGTGTCAATGGAATAACTCAATGATCCACTCAAATGAGTTGAATTTACTTAAACCCATCAAGCCGATAAAAAAAGCATGACGAAGTTCACCCACTTCAGTGCCTTTCATGATCGACAAGCCTGATGTTTGCAAAAAAATGTGGCTACCATCTGGACATCCCGACAGGCGTCCAGACGGTCTGCTGTCCGGTGTCTGGACGCCGGACCGTAGGAGGCCCGTCCGGAAGGGGCCAAAACCCCGAAATTCAAGAAAAAAAGGGGGCACCCTAGACCTGTTCCTTGGGTCCAGGGTGCCCCCTGAAAAATGTTTTGATGATTTTTGGGGCCGGTATCGGCCGTACAGGGTGGCCAGACCGGCCCCTTTTCTACTTGCATCCTGGGCAGACCGTTGGAGGCAGAGCGCAGTTCCCCAGTGATGAAGGGAAGAAAGGGCGGATCTAGGCACTTCAGAGTGCTTTCCCGCCCACCCGCCGCCGCCACACACGCACACACACACACACACACACACACACACACACACACACACACACACACACACAGAGGGAGAGGGAGAGCGAGCCCTCATTACCGTTGTGGACTGGTGCGCACATGTGCGCACCAGCAAAAGGAAGGAAGGAAGAGAGAGAGAGAGAGTTTTGAACTCGGACTTCGAACTTTGAACTTTAAATTCTGAACTGCTAAAGTGCAATCAGACTCATTTTCAAACACACTTTTCACACATGTAAACAGTAACGCAGCATACTGGCGACATGCGCCCACTCAAAACTCAGAGATATGGTTTTCAGATACGAATTTCACTCCCAATTGGCTATGGCGACCTCAGCGCCCAAACATCTCACTGTTCACATACACTGGATCACCCTGGATATCCCACACGCATCGCTCTAACACTCGAGCACACACACACACTCCTACTAACTACAGCTATGGCAGCTATGACTGCCTCTAACCTATCGCTATGCTAACTCCTCCTCTCTTGCCCACTGCRTCCTCCGGGCTCATCTGCAGACCTCCTTGCACAAGTCGCTGTGGCAGCGCTTCCGCATGGCTCACGCAGGAATCAATGAATGGCTGGGCGCTGCCTCTTGATTTATACTTCAGAAATTCGTTGGTCTGCCCTTTGCCATCGGCCCTTGGTGCTCACAGTCCCCCTGTGGTACTTGCTGGAC